AAAAAAAAAAAAAAAAAAAAAAAAAAAAAAAAAAAAAAAAAAAAAAAGTAAATTGGTTCTGCTTCCTACCTTGGAAGTGCAAGGACAGGAGGTTGATCCCCAGTACCAAAAAAAAAGAAAAACGAGTAAATCGTGAATTGCAAGCCTCAGCTTTATTTACTTGTTTTGAGACAGGTCTCTTTGTAATTCAGCCTGGCCTCAAACTCACTGTGTAGACCAGGCTGGCATTGAACTTTCATCAATCCTTCCTCAGTTTGAGTGCTGGGATCACAGGAATGGGGCCACCACGCCTGGCTGTTATCTCTTTTGTTTTGTTTTGTTTTTTTTGAGACAGGGTCTCACTATGTAGTTGAAACTGACCTAGAATTCACTTTGTAGCCCAGGCTAGTCTCGAACTCACAGCGATCCTTCTGCCTCAGCCTCCCGAGTGCTGGGATTACAGGCATGCGCCACCACACCCGGCTGGCTGTTATCTTTTAAATGAGCGACTTTAAAAAAATCTTTTTAGGTTTGAGGGAACATTTGAGATGAGACATATACGAACAGATTTATTACATATATAACAAAAACATACCATATACATACACATAAAAGGAATTTTTAATTTTATGGGTTTTTTGCTGTGCTATTAATTAAATCCAGGGCCTCATAACTGCCAGGCAAGTGCGTTACAACTGAGATAAACCCTCGGTCCCTGCAGATATATTATTCATTATGTAAGTACAGTAACAAGAAAATGTGACATTTATTTATGCATCTGGCACCAGAGTGATTATGTATATTATGTAATGTTCGAACGTGTCACTTTAATTTTCTCATACCACGGATGTTTTGGAGCTGAAGACCAGAGAAATATAGAAACTCAGCCAAAGTTTGCTCAGTATTTCTGTGGCACAGGTGGGAATCTGAGCGGTCCCCTGCGTTGTAGTGTGGACTCCCTCAGGCAGGTCTCCAGGACAAACTCCTGCAGCCCAGCCATACTTGGGCCTCGGGCCTTTCCGTAGTGCCTTCGAACCTGAAAAAAATCCACCTCTGCGCCCGTTCATTTTAGCCAATCAATGAGAGGTTAGGCTTACGGAAGGCGGGTTCGGGGCGGGGCCCTAATAAGATTGGCAGCATGTTCTGTCACTAGTACGAGGAATGGCGAGATAGACAGTGAGGTAGACCAATGAGTACGAAGTCAGTGCCTGGAGCGAGCCAATGCGGTCGAGAGGCGGGGCTGGGGAATGTGTGTGTAGAAGGGGCTGAGGATTGTTGCCGCTATCGCGGCGTTGGACGCTGAGAGCAGCTGTCACGGTTCTCGAGTGTCGTGTAGCCGCCGCCGCCATGAGCTACACAGGTGGGCCCACAGGGTGGGGTCGCTTTGGGTGGAGCGGGCAGGACAGCGACGTGTTGGGGCTATGCCGGGCTCGCCCACACCGCCCCCGGCACGCGGGTCACTTCTCTGTGGTCACAAAATGGCGTCATAGGCCCATCGCCTCTGGCTTGCGCCCCTCACGCCCGGGTGCTTCGGGTCGCTGTGCTTGTAGCTTGGCGTTCCGGTTCCCGGCCTTCCGAGGCTTTGGTTCCTAGTGCTTGTGCCCGTGGGGCCCAGAGGATCTCGGCGCTGAGATCACAACTCCTACCACCTCAGTCCCTGGCCGGAGTTTCTGGCACGAGGACGCCTAGAGCGGTCGTTTCTCAGGCCTGGCCGGGCTTTTCAGATCATTCAGCGGGCTCTGCTGCGTTCGCCATCGCTCCGGCCTCCCCCGTGAAGCTTCCCTGCAGAATGCGCAGCTCTTCTCGCCCCCGAGCTGGGAGAGGCGCCAGTCCCGGAGGATCCGTGAATATGTGAGGAGTTTGGGCGGAGCGGGGAACCTTGAGTCTTAGGGACTGCGCTGGAATCTTGGGCGAGGAATGGCCTGCTTCGACATCGTTTCACGCGGCATCTGTCACATTTGCCGTGTCAGGCGCTTAACATGAGCTGGAAATGTTGACGATTCCGCAAGTAGTTTATAGGCCAGGGCAGACTTTTGTAAGTAAATAAATGCCAACAGGCTGTGATCTGGGGCAATCCATTACATGGAGACCTCTGTAAAGAGAGTGTTTGGGGTGAGGGGAGTAAACATGGAATGGCTTGGCTTGTTAGGAAATATGTCAGGGAGGCCGTTGGGATTTAAGCAAAAGGGAAGGTGGGTGATGAGATCAAAGAGGACTCCCGTCCCCTTCTCTGTCCAGATATGTTTGTAAATCATCACCAAGTGAATTGCCCAGGTTGCCTGAGTTTGCCTTAGTAGTGACCAGAGTCTTCGCAGCGATGTATACTGTCCCCCATCCTCGGTGGAGGTATTTTAGGTTTGAACATAATGTGGTTGCTCGGTAACCTGCATTCTACTTGGAATAATTAAGACTGAGAATGGAACCTGAGCCTTTGGCTCCTTTGTGGGCTCTTTTATTTTTTAATTTTTTACATTTTATTTATTTTTTTATTTATTTTGAATATTTGAGACAGGGTCTCACTACATAGTTGAGACTGAGGTGGAACTCACTATGTAGCCCAGGCTGGTCTACAACTCATAGCGATTCTCTTGTGTAGACTCTTTTATATTAGTCCTCTCTGCTCTGGCCCCCAGGTCCGGAGCTTGCCAAGATTCCCAGTTATTCTAGTGGGCATCTTCCAGCCCATGGGTCTCAACAAGGGGCAAGTCTCCATCCCAGGGATTATTTGGCATCATCTGGAGGCAGGCCTGTTTGCTAGTCTTCATTTGGGAGTTGGGGCTACTGCTGACATCTAGTGGCTAGAGCCCAGAGACATTGTTCAACATGCTGCAATGGTACAGCCCCAATGTAAAGCATTATTTGTTCCCAAAAATCAGTAGTAACAAGGTGAGTCAGCTGTGCTAAAGCCTTTCTGTAGTGTTCCTAAAGTCAGTAGGACTGTTCCTGACATCTCCAGAACTGAGATGTAATTCTCTTCAAGTACTACCAAGAATTGAAGATAGTTCTGTGATATTTAGGGACATTGCTGAAGAAATCAGAGGATGAATGGTTGAATGTTGCAGGGCAGCTTAATCACGGAGCATTTATTTATTTATTTATTTGTTTGTTTGTGGTAGGGGGGATCGAACTCAGGACCTTGTGCTTTCAAGGCAGGCAGAGGCACCACTGAGCTAAATCCCTGGCCCTGGAGCATTTATTTTTTATAGAAGAGGAAACTGAATTTATGGCCAGCCTGAGTGTCAGCTTCAAGTCTTGTTGGCTGTAATTCTTGGTTTGGTGGGCATTGAGGTCGCCAAGCTGTGAAATAATTGGTTTTTTTCTTGATCTAGATAAACTGAAAACAACAGTAGCTTTACAATGGAAGTCTTTCTTTTCTAGGAACCGAACCAGGGCTGTGGGGTAGCTCAGTGGTAGAACACTTGCCTAGCATGTGAGAGGCCCTGAGTTCTGTACCAAGCTGCCCTGCACCTCTTCCCCCTACCTCCATAAGAAATAGTAGCAAACCATTATTAAATTCAAAAGCATTTTTTTTTCTTTTTCTTTCTTTCTTTTTTTTTTTTTTTTTTTTTTTTTTTTTTTTTTTGGTTTTTTTTTTTTTTGTGTCTCTTGTG